CCAATTATATTATTTTTATCACTACTTTGTCTTCACATTAAAGTAATAAAGTTTATCTTTAATTATACAGAACATAATAATTTATTAGAACAATATACATAACGTTAATAACACAATGTATTTAGCCCGATTTATATTATAGTACCTACAGCTATAAGCTGAATTTAAATTAATGGATCTAAGTTCAAGTAAACAAATTAATTTTTAAAACACTAAGCGACAATAAACTAGTTTTCAGATGGTATTTATTTAATAAAACAGTGTATTTATCCTGTTTTACGATTTACCATTAATTTAAAATATAACTAAACCTAAAGTACCATTACACGTACTAAGCCTATTTTAACGTTGTAGTAATAATTTACAACACTAAACTCTAAATTAAAACTTTGACCGTCTTACTTTTATTTACCAGTTTTATTATATCTACTTATTATTGTGTTATTTAACCTAAATTACTACAAACTATAATAATAATATTAAATAACTTTCAGAAATCTATAAAAGCTTAACTTTTCAACATCTTCTTCTCTTCAGTCGCGCCCTCTATTCTAAGTGTTCCACCTGCCTCTTTACTGTCAAGATATCATTATAACAACATTTACTATATGATTACGAATCTCATCCCGATAGGATGCGTTCCTAAGGGGCCACCTCGTACTAATGTGTTTACTGTTCTGGAGGTAACATTAACACCTATAATTGCAGCAAGATCTGCATTCTATCGTCGTCTATCTACCTGGACCACTTCTATTATTAGCTATCTCAGTTTCACGTACTCGCTTTAGAGTCTGCCATTCAACAGCTACTGAAATATGGAGTCTTGTTGCAATGTTTTGCATCAAGTACCCTTGATCAGTTAATTTTTTTTTATTTCAACACGCTTGCCATGCAGTCCTGGGAGCCATACTTGATTCATATTACTATTAATGAGTATTATATTAATCATGTACTTTCCTGCGCTTTATACTGATATGGCGCTTTCTGGTCGTTGGATAAAAGCCAATTCCTATTGTAAACTATCAATACATAACTATAACCGGCTTTTATTCAATTTTAGTTGTGATAAATTATGCAACTAAAACGGTTTATAAACTTTATAATATTAAATCCGGTGTGCTTCAAAAAATCTCAGGGTAAAGCACTAAGTATATGCTGAAGAAAAATTATTCTTTTCATCACATAAAATGATATGTGATATGAACACTGTGATGAAACGGGTAACTACAGACCGAAATAACTAACGTGATCTCTGCTATTTACGTTTGTATCTATGCATGCATACCCACGTAGAAGGCGCAATCATGGATCATTATCTGTGAATGTTTTCTAACAATACAGTTTTATCTGATTCACAATGTGAATATTTTTAACAATGCATATTAATCTGGTACACATTTGCGATTGTTTTTAACAATGCATGATTATCTGAAATAAAGATGTGAATGTTCTTAGCAAATAATGCCGGGCTGAATGTAAGATTGAATGAGATGCGGTTGTGATACACATTATACGTTGGAAAGGTTGTCATTCCTTGGGAAGGGAATCACACAACCAGCCAAGGCAGCACGCAAAAAATACAAGTAGGCTGTGATACATTTATACCTTTTCCAAACAGTAGGCTGTATTACATTTATACTCTTCCCAAACAGTAGGCTGTGTAACATTCATACCCTTCCCAAACAATAGGCTGTGCAACATGCATACCCTTCCCAAACAATAGGCTGTGCAACATTCATACCCTTCCCAAACAATAGGCTGTGCAAGTCATACCCTTCCCAAACGTTAATTGAAATATGCCTTGATTACATAATTTTACCACATTTATTTGTTTTATTACCTCATTTGAAGTTGAAGGACCTATAGATGTGTGTGTAAATGTATTTGTGTTATATTTTGTATCTATGGTAAAGATAATAAGGGTATCTGTTGCCCTCCCTAATTTTGAACTATTGACCAGAGATAATACAATCCGTCAACTTTACTTTACCATCCATCATTCACTCTAAGGGGTTGAATGTCACTCTTATAACTCACTCACAGCTTAAAGTGTGGAGAATACTTTGTGTTATTCCAAGAATTCGCACCTGGTTTGCCACCTCTGATATCCAGAGCTATATAAAATATTGAAGTGTTTAATCAATTTCTGTAGCAATTTTGTACACATTCGTCTTGGTTTGAGGACCGTATGCGAGAGTTAACATATACAAAACTTCCCAGGAAAAAATACTTTATTAGCAAAGATTAACAAGGACAAGAAACTTTTTAATGTAGTAATTTCTAAAGTCATAGTTGCATGGCATTATTTTGAATAAAAATATGAACAAATTGAGGTATTTTAATAAGTTAATAACACTTTTTGTTCTAAACTTTTTTTCCTTTTTTAAAATCTACCTAGTCTTTCAAAGAAAATCTGTACTAAGTTAAATGCCCCAAAGAATTTTCATGATCTAACAACGTTACAAAAGCGTCATTGCACATCCGTTATGTGGGACGTAACTAGTTGACACTAATTTTCAACATCTTTGTTATCTTGGATCTTTTTCAGTACACCCCGTGTGGCATCCAGAATTACCATGTCACCTGTATTAAACAGAAAACATAAACTGGCATTAAGGAAGTCCACAATTGTTTTATAAACACATTTATAGAGACACTAATATGAAATGTTCAGTCGGGTACATCTTGATGTTATTCATCAGGTTTTAAAATCTTAATACAAATGTTTTTATTGAGCAACGATAGCTTCTGGTGGTATGAAATAGCAGTTACCATTATTACTGTGGCACAGTGTCTAATTTTCTCTTTACACGATCTCATATGGTACAGTCCTTTTTTGTTTATATACCATTTCACATGGCACACTCACCGTTTGTGTTCTTACAGTATTATACGTAGTACAGTCGTCATTATTGCTTCTAAAGTTGTTGTTGTTGTTTGTAATTGAGCACAAAGCTACACAATGGGCTATCTGTGCTCTGCGCACCACGGGTATCGAAACCCGGATTCTAGCGTTCTAAGTCCGCAGACATACCGTTGTGCCACTGGGGCAGCTTCTAAAGCACCTACGTGATACAGTCATCCCACTTTTCACTGTTTGCACTTAATTGTGGGAAGATGGTTACTCTTTCATATTTCAAATTAAAATAAATATATTTAAAAGTTTATAAACTTCGAGCTAAAACACAAGAAAGGTTTGTGAAATGCTATAAAAATATTAACCTTAAAACGGAATAAATTAATTTAATAAATATTCATCATTTCTGTTTGCTTGTTTCTTCTTGTTAAGCACAACGCTATACAACGCTCTATGCCCTGCCAACTGCCAGTATCAGAATCCAAATTTTAGCGTTATTAATTCTCAAAATTACCGCTGAACCATCGGGTGCAACCATTTCTGAAACAAGTATTATTAGAACTACATACAAATACCTATTAAATTTTTGTAACACCTCCCGTTAGTTAGGGAAAATACTTCCATGCTGTTGAAACTTTATATTCTCTTTCATATTCTTTGTAAAACTTGTTTATCTTAAATGTAAAAATACAAGCAGCTGTTTTCGTGTAGAAACGTTAAAAACATTATTATTCGCATGCTATTTCAAACTGTAATATTCGAAACCCTATCGGTAAAAATCCATTTTTTCAATTATTGTATTTTTTTTTTTTAGTTTTCATTAATTTATTCAGATGTATTTGTAGATTTTGTATACACATTACTTCGTTATTAAATTTACACTCTCAGTGCTGCAAGTTATCACTTGTGTATGATACATTTTCTGTATATTGAAAACAATTTATATTTATTTTGTCTTAGACTTCCTTGTTTGAATGAGACATAAGTTAGGGTTGCTTTTATTATATTATTCTGGTGACCATAGTAACAAAACTAATGATTGTATATTTGTATGTAAAATTATACAGAGATTAAGTTCATTATATTAAAAGAGTTTTAAAGCGATATGTCAACATGTCACGTGACAACCACAGTCGATATAAAGTCGCAGTGGAACAGAATGAATTGGAACGTCATTTTGACGTTATTCGTCCCTCTTTGGGAAGAATATGTAGCAACCAGTTGACACGTAAGATATTCATACACTCATATCAAAAAGATGTGATCAATTTGAGAATTCTCAATTGCCAAAACAGGCATATCCCTTGTACTTAATGACATTAGAAAACAAAGGAATATGGATCATATGGGGCACAAGGACCATCCAAAAAAGAAGTGTACAAAAAATCGTGCTCCAGCAATGGCATGCATATTGTGACGTCTTTGACAGGCAAGAATCCACTAACACAAAAGTTGGAGGCAAAATATATCTACGTGACAAAAGTATGAAATATAATCAAGAAGGTTTTCCTCTGGAAATATAGAGAACAAGATATATGTTTACTAAGGTAATGCTTCCTTTGAACCTTTTGTTCAACTGTCATATACTTAAGCAGCTGGAGAAAGAAACGAATATTCATTATGTTCCATACAAAGACATACCGGTTAAGTCATCTCATTGATATCGGTCTTATTGGACTGTTGATATGGGCACTGCAAAACCATCGTTCTCAAATGCTAGATGGATTATGGAAAGCTAGCAGGGAGGTTTGGTGTTCTTTGGTCATGCCAAACTTACGACGCATACTTTTACAATGGAAAATATACTACAGGGTTATTTTATAGATTCATTGTAGTCAGTTAGAGCATGACCGAACGTGGCGACATGGACTGTAACGACGTAATGAGACTCCACGATTCGTTTCTGTGTCAACACACCGATACCTTAGGTTTCAAAACTAGCTGTATGCGATTAATTATGTATGCGCTAGATGAATTTGGGGTTGAAGTATTGTAAAAAAATAAATCATTTTACTCTACTTCTTCCTTAAACAATCCGAAACTGATAATAATCATCAACAAATGAGTTTCAAAATCCTGACTTTGATGAAGATTATGTATATAATGTGTGATATAACGTATGTATGATTTATGTAATAAAGTTTGCTTGGTGGAAATAATATCATAACATACAAAAAAAATCTGTTTGCTATTTTTAAGAAGCATATTTTTAGTGCTATTGTTTCTTGAGCAATTGAAAGTTTTATTTTTATCATCGATTCCTATGAGTGGCGACGGAAATTAGTGTAGCAGTAGATAGAGGTTATGCTGAAACACTCAGGAGTCATTCAGTGTCTGAGTGAGAACAGCTCATTTCTTATAGTTATTTGTACACAACATATTTTCACATCACAAACGTATCAGATTGTTTGTTTCATTTTAAGTTAGTTTAAGCATTAACTATTTTGCGTTTTCCTTACCCGTCTTGAACGTAGTCGTTGCGCCTTGAACTGCTACTAGAGAAGGCAGACCATACTCTCTTGCGACCACAGCACCTGAAGAATTAAATTCGTACATATATATCTTTTTCAATCGTAAAAATATAAGTTTCCTTTAAGTTCTGAAATTATTGTTTAATTTAGTTATATTATTTAGTATTTCAATATTTCATACTGTTGAAATTAATACGATGAAATTGATTCACAACCCTGTGTAATCTCCTAAAGGTTCTGAGAGCGACTAAACATAGCTTAAATATACAGAATTGATAATTACAACTCAGAAATTTTCCCTTCACGTTTGGATCTTTGTAATGCAAGTAACTAATTAGGAACTGATGTAGCCTCTTTCAAAAGCACAGTACATCAGGGGTTTCGAAATCATAACTTTTCGAAATATTGAAATGTAATAAATATTATGCAACACTGAAATCTTGTTTGTAGTTATTTCCTACATCAATTTAGAATCTCATTATTTAAGTTAAATACATTTCTGTTATTTTTATGCTTGTTTATTTAGTTCGGTATTAACACTTCCAAATAAATTTTGAATCTTCTAACAGGATTATTTTGCATAATGAAGAAATAACAGTAACTAAATATCAAACTTTATTAATTTTTAAGGAAATACTTTTTTCCATTAAAATTATTTCTATTCTTCAACTGGAATGTTTTTGTGGAGATTCTTGCAAGTACAGAAATAAGTATTTTAATAGTTTCTAAATGCGACTCACCGTGAGAAATTAGACCCCCTAGTTCTGTGACAATACCACTCAGAAGTGGAAAGTATGGAGACCATCCTATGTCTGTAGAGTGGGCAATGAGAATATCTCCTTGCTGTAAATGAAATATTTGTTATAAAACATGTCTGAACCAAGAAGGTACAAGATATTGTACAATTGGCTAACATGGTAAAATGTGCTAGTTAGATTAAAGTAACTTACGTTTTGTTTGTATTGTTCGAAATTATTGGAAAAAAATGAAGCACACTTCACGCAGTTTCATGTGACAACTGGTAATGCACACTGATATGAAACGATATAACGTTACTAAACCTTGTTATTGTGAAACTGGTTATTAGGGGAAATACATTTTTTTTTATTCTAATCCATTTCACATGAAAGTTTGCCGTTTAGGTTTTGTATTTGCGAATTGTGAGAGAACGTATTCCGAAACTTTCGTCGCAATTATTATTGGTACATTTAGTCATCAAATAAAAATGTCCAGTAAAGTTTTAGTTTGGCAAATGAAAATGAAATGTTATGGTGCGGAACACATTTAAAATTAAAGTTATTGATATCCTATTTATGTACTATATTATTTCTAATGTTTGTGTTCAGTGATGAGCTTTGATATCAGTGAAGAATGATTGTAGTTACACGTGAAATATAAAGTTAGCGTGTGTGTGTTTTATAGCAAAGCCACATCGAACTATCTGCTGTGTATACCGAGGGAAATCGAACCCCTGATTTTAGGGTTGTAAATCCGTAGCCTTACCGCTGTCTCACCGCAGAATTATGCAATTTAGCATCTTTGATTCACAACCAATATTCATGAATTATTACAAATATTGTACGCCTAATTCTATTATATAATTTCTGCAGGTTCTAAGATAACACTCATTTACTATTAGTAAACATTTCTTTTATTCGCAATCCTAATCTTCTCGTGTATGCAAATAGATGCATACAAACAAACATGTTGAAAACCTAACATTTAATTTTTATGTTAATATACGGTTTCGTTTGGGTTAAACATGCCTAATAAATAGCAAACTCACCTGTAAACTTGATGCTTCATTAAGGTTTTTAGCGACGTGAGCCACTCCCTTCACAACACCCTGACATACTGTGACACCTATAGACAACATAAAAGTAAGCATAAGCTTTATTCTTATTCTTCTCTACCTAAGAAATATGCAGATAAAACTTAACGATTAATCAAATTCTAAAAAAAGTAAACAATACATGAACTTGTCATGAGTTTTATTTTTAAGAAATTGATTCTATAGTTTAAATGATTTCATATGTGAATAATTTCTAAACAGATAGTATTACGAAGACATTCATGATAGAAAAGACTTAAATAGCGTCTAAAAAATTCGTTTAATGCGACATGTGTTTCATACATATATTTCATTTCATAAAGGTGTTTAATACTAGCACGCGAACCTTATATTACTAGCTAAAATTTTGAGATGTATATAATAAGCGGTTTAAATCAATACACATATTCAACATTACTATAAATAAATTAGCAGTTACTGTGAACTTCAATATAATTTTTCTCTGTAAGTAGATAAAATAATAAACCAAACCTCGTAATTCTTGAAGAGAGGAGTAAGTGTCCTCAACTTCTTCAGTTGAGATCTGTGAAAATGAAGATTTGTTAAGTGCGTTCTAATTAAATATATTTGTAAAAAATAAATGTTTTTAAATTTTGCTGTTTCTTACATTTTATCGCCCCGTTACGTTCTTTAAAAAGTACATTTCTTATGCGTATATTAATATGTTAGTCATAATATTATGCTCTTTTTAAAAATAAATCACGTAGTTCTTCATTTCAGATATATATTTTGTTTATTTTCCATAAGGCTCTTAAACCGAGTGTTATACTTGACTTCTGAAGTAGAAGATAACAACGGAAACAAATTAAAACAAAACCTACTAATCAGATATTTTTTTACAATGTTTAATGTTAATGGCTAATGTATGAAGATATGTGAAATATCATAGACAATTATAAGAATGGTTTAAAACCTTCAGTAGAAATGAAAATTTACTCAAAGCGAATTTCAATATAACTTGTGTTGAATATCGATTTAATATTCAAACTTAACATCTTTATCAAGATAACTTGTTCTTATATATCGTTTTTATATTACATTGGAGTATTTCATTAATAAGAAAGAATTATGATATCGATTTTATAAGTTATTCAATATATTTATACATAAGCTCATACATTCATAACGTTTCAAATGCTTACTGGTTTCGGTTCACCAATCATAATTTCCGGAAACATCATATCATTCAACTTCTTGTGTATTCTGCGTCTGCGAACGGCTCTAATAAAGAGCAAAAAATTAAATTTATTAATTGCAATATTTAAATAATGCTTCGTAACCATGTGGGAAAAAGAACTTTGACCTCACTCCATTTCGACAATAAGTTATAAATATGTGCATTGTGCCATTCCATTTTACAATAGTGACAATTATTATACAAGTCTCTTTCTAGCATTGATGTTTTCCGTAACAACACGACAGTTTACAAAAGCTTAATTATTGTTCGAAGACACGGTCTATTATTATTGAATAACAGCTTATTCTAACAAAATATAAATATCTATATCAAAGTTTTCAAATTATATTGAATTTTAAATTCTGGTTGAGGTGCAAAAATAGTCAATTCATTTCGGCCAGTCAGAAATATATTTAATTTTGGCTACCACTAGTCTACATTGTAATATATCAATAAATGTGTTAAAACAAACCAAATTATTATTCATATGCGTTTGATTGCACAATGAATTAATTCTCAAATACTGATAGTTCATGAGTTTACGTCTAACGTAAAATCAACTTCCTTGAAAACACTTACGTTGAGATT